TCTGGCTGTGAATGAACCGTAAAGCAGACACAACAATGTTAATATCCTGGTGATTCACTTTTTTACCACAACCATCCACCTACTAAAAATGTAATTGTGTAGGTGGTTCCTTCTTTGTTTTTAGCAGATTCTCACATGATTTAATTTTTTTGCCATAAGGGGAGCAATAGAGTACTGTGGCTCTCTTGCTGTTACAGGGGTCCTGGGGAACCAACATTATTTAAAACCCCTTTTCTGACATAGTTGGTGAAGAGGACATAGCTGGGATTGATACCTCTTTTATTAGATGGTCTTTATTACCCTGATTTTCTTAAAGTAGATTTGTGTGGGTTAGCAACTTATTGAACCAAGGAATAAACCAACCATTGTTTTTATTTTTTTTTTGTTTGTTTTTTACCAATCACTTCTGATTTGAGTTTTGGACAGATGCAGTACAGATCTGTGAAAGGCTGAACTTAAAGGACATTAGTCTTCTTATGGCCTATATTACTATATAATGTTGTATGTGAACACCATGGCATGATCTATCTTGCTGTAACTATATCTATCTGCAGTTTTACATAGCTGTTTCACACAACTAGAGATGCATAAGAATCTTTGTGATCATTAACTAAAAATACTGTGATCACGCTTCTATTCCAGGTAAAGAGAGCTGCTTTGATAGGATAGTGACAAGGTTTGGAAAAAAGGTTACTTATGTAGTAATTGGAGATGGCAGAGATGAAGAAATGGCTGCTAAACAGGTACACATTATGTTTGAATAATATTTTCCTATATTTCTTCAAATGAATGCAAACGTAACAGCTCTGTACAAACTCAGAATGTACTTGTGAATTCTCTCTTCCATATCCTATCTTTTCCTATGTATGCCATCTCTTATCCTATCTGTCTATGTAATAAATACTATTCACTATTACATGAACTTCAAGTGTAAAGCCCATGTAGAGATGATAATCCTTATTTCTTTTCTATGGCCTTCCACTACCTGGGACAATGGTTGAGTTTACAATTTCAAAATGTAGGCATAAGTCCTTATTCAATATAGTCTGCCTCTTGTAGTAGCTATGTGTGAGAGAGGATGAAGGGGAAAAATAGCTAGGGAGAAAAAGACGTGGATGATGAGCAATAAAAATATGGAGAAGGTGAGAGGAAGAGAAAAAAATTACTGTATTTACTCGAATCTGATGCGCACCTTTTGTTTGGAAAATAAAGTTTCCAAATTTTTACTGGTCGTTAGATGTGATGGCACATTACATTCAGGGCAAAATTCTACATTTTCCGGCGAATTCACACTGGCAAATTCCATTCCAGCGAATTCACATTGGCAAATTCCATTCCAGTGAATTCACACTGGCAAATTCCATTCCAGCGAATTCACACTGGCAAATTCCATTCCAGCGAATTCACACTGGCAAATTTTGTTCCTGAAAGAGAGCTTAAGAAAGAATAGACACAACTTGCAACACAACAACTGAAATCCCAATAATTTTACTATGGTATATGGCAATAAACCTTTTCATTGTAGCACAATGTTGTATAGTAGTATCTACTAGTATAAATGCCCATTACATTTGCCAGCAAAAACCTTTTTCAGCTTCCGGGTTTCAAAAATTGAGGTGCGCATTAGATTTGAGTAAATACTGGTATGTCAATAGGGGGTACATTTAGAGAGAATGAGACATGGAAAATATAGAAGTTGCAACCATTTTGAAGAAAGTAGAGTGGTGTGTGTGTGTGTGTGTGTATATGTATGGGTGTATATATGTATGTATGTATATGTGTATAGATTGTATTAGCTGTAGTAGGGTTGTGTGTCTGTCTGTCTGTGTCCAGTAGACAAGATGCCAAAATACCAGAGTATTGCAGTATGCAATGATACCTTTTTCATTGGACTAACATAATATTTCAAAGACAAGTTTTGAGCGTTTTCCTCTCTTCCTTAGGTCTTGAAGCAATACTGATCAGTCAGGCACATCTTCTGATAATTATGATAATCCCCTCCTCTACCTTCCCTTTTTCTAGCATAAGTTGTCTTAAGTGTTAAACTCTATCATATTGATCAGTATTGCTTCAGACCTGAGGAAGAGAGGGAAAACTCTCAAAAGCTTTTCTTTGAAATATTATGTTAGTCCAATAAAAAAGGTATTATTGCATACTGCAATACTCTGGTATTTTGGCATCTTATATATAATCTCAAAATAGATAGCACTCCAGGGACTTCATCCAATGAAGTAAAACTTCGTTTTTAATGCTTACATGGATAAAAATCAACGTTTCAGTCTGCCCCACCAGACTTTCATCAGGATCAAAGTCTGCTGGGGGAAGACTGAAACACTGATTTGTATCCATGTAAGCATTAAAAGCTACGTTTTACATTATTGGACAGAGTCCGTGGAGTGCTATCTATTTTTTGATTTGTAATTATTTATGCAGACGAGCACCGGGCATCTAAGTTGCCATGCCTCCATTGCAAGCCAGTGCCAATGCCAAGCCTCCATTGCAAGCCAGTAACCAACCTCATGCTGATGTGTTGCATTAACAATGAAACAGCTGTCAATGAGTGGTTCACTGGTCTTGCTCCTCTTCCTGAGTTGTTTCAAAGCTGTTGTATACAGCAGACACATACTCCAAGGAATCCATGTATAAAGTGAAATTATGAGGCAAAAATGTGGTTCTTTGTTGAGCTCATTTGCATATGCCTACCCAGAGACCCTTGCAGTAGTGAGAACACTGTTAAATTGAGATTTCTGCGGGAAAAGCAAGTCTTATGGCTTGACTGATGTGTGTATTTGTGTTTAGCAATGTAATATATATATTAACAGTGTGTGGTTCTGGCTTATTGCTGTAGCTATAACAAGTAGAATGAAGGGTGGCTGGGATAAGCAGCTTCAGAATAATACACAGAGTACATACAGAGTACCAATGGTAACTGCATGAGTAATATTATGCTGAAATAAAGAAGGGATAAAGGGAAAGAGGCTTCATAACCTGCTCTTGTTTTCCTCTTATTTTTTTTTTTTTTTATTATTTATCCAAGATGCTTAGAATATATCTTTCCAAATGTGGTTAACGATATGTCTTGTAAGTTTTTGATAAGCATCTTCAAGCAACTCTATAAATCCTCTAAATCTAAATGTTCTACTTGACACTGCCAAATAAAGCAGTTCCCACATCTCTTAGTGGTTCTTCACCTTGTACTCCATATCAAATGGCCTCTTTTTAATTTTGCTGATCTTAAAACCATGATCCTTTTTAAAAGGCAATAATTATTTCATCCAGTTTGTGTGTACTTCAGCTATGGCAATGTCTTAAGTCTGAACCATGGTGTTCATTAGGAGACATGGGCACATGTGATGTAAACCTAGTACTGGGAACACTCTGTAAAATGTTAATATTTATTTTCTGGTTTTCCTCTAGCTGAACATGCCTTTCTGGAGAATCACTAACCATAATGACCTCACCTCTCTGCACCAAGCTCTGGAGCTGGATTTCTTGTGAGAAATTTGGTGAAAAGGATGGACTTTCGTGAACCATCCAGAGACATTCAAATCTGCCTTCTTGTCTGAGAAGACTATATCTTAAGAACTGACTGGGATGTCTAATTCAGGAAGATGCTTTCCTCTGTCTTTAGATTCCCTGAGAGTTTACCAACAGGGAATTATGGCTGCAGTGAAAGAGAGAGCCCTTCAGTCATCTACGCTGAATTTTTTTTTTTTTTACAAATGCTCCTCGATTTTTTTTTTTTTTTTTTCATTTTTTTTTTTTTTTCTTAGATCTTACCTACCTCTTCAGTTTCATGCCAGCTCCCCAATTCTTCAAACTCCATTTAGGTCTGCTTCATGTCCAGTGGAGAGTTTGAAGCCTACTATATACAGTAAACTTTGAATAATGGTAAAATGGAATGTCAACAACCCCAATCATGTTCTTCATATCAAGAATAGAATGTAGCATTTTGTTACCAGTTCTTCACCTTTCAAGACTGATACTGTACGCTGACCTCAAATGAAGTAGCCAATCGTTTTAGCTGAGGATGTGTCTGAATCAGACTTAACTTTACTATTTCCCTGTTTTTTTAATCTGCTTTCCAGGGCAATGTACATATTTCTGGATTTGTTAAACTTAGCATTGGGGAAATTGCTTCATGGGGTTATTTTTATTTTTGTTTCTACCAGATTATCATTCTGGAAATATTTCTTAAATACCTCGATGAGGGAGGGGACTAAAAATGCCCCCACCATTAATTCACCTTGAATGATGGTAGCTTATTAAAAACTTGTATTTTTTTTCTCTCGTTTCTTTAACTTTCTGATTTTTCTGTATAATTTTCCTTTTTTTTTTTTTTCAAAGAAACAATTTTGTAATGTGACTATATAGTGGGAGGCAAACTGTTTACAGTATTTGAACTGTTTTCAAGCAGTTATTTGGGGAGAAATAATAATTTTTTGTTTGTTCAGTAGGAACAGGAATACATTTTCAGTATTTGAAATAAAATGCCAAAGTGCAGCCTGTGATTAGCCTGGCATTGGACGATTCTCTGTCTTTTTGATTTAAAGGAATTCTAGCCTAAATGCCCCTAATATCATGCCTTATTCCAAACTTATTTTCAGAGGTTGTCATGGTGTACAACTCTGAATGCGGAGAATTAAATATGTACATACTGTGGTACTAATGTTTCAAGAAAATGATAACTTTTTTGTGGTGTTACAATTTTATTTAATTTTTTTAACTATGCAGATTTTTATCATGTGTGCAATACTAGAACATGTCTGTTTTTTTATACATTTATATATCACACTGCCTTGCACACAGTGAAGAATAGCCTAACATGGTATATATTTTAAAGGAACGCTTCAGACACTATAAGAATAACATCTCAATGAAGTTCTTACGGTGCCTGTAGGTTCTGGTTGTGGTCTTTTTTTTTAGAGGGTTAAAACATGTGGCTAACTTTACCCTAAAGTTATCCAAACAGCATAAGTCAGCTCTGCCACTCTTTATCTGCTCTAATGAGGAAGTGTCTGTCTGGGCATTTAATGAGCTGAGCGTGTCAGCTGATGCTGTCATCTTATCACTAGCTTAACTTTAACAAACTCGCCTTTAATCCAGTGCTGTTGGTCTCACTGCGGAAGCCACTCCACTTGCTGTGAGAGAATTGATGTGAGAGAATATGATCTTTGGCCCTATGCATAGCAAGCCCCTGTCTGGTCAATCTGATGCTTCTAATTGAGAGGTATTATCCCACTGCTTCTCTATGAGAATAATTAATTATTAGCTTGCGGCTTCATCATTCTGAATGGGATGATGCCTAATGTGAAGACTTTCAATTATTGAAAGTCTTCACTAGAAATTGCCTGTGGTGTCTGCCATTTAAAGCATTCTGCCTGACAATGTAAACTATTGTTAATTTGTTGGGACTTTTTGTGTTTTTTCTCCCTACACAGATATTTAATTGCTTGGGGGATTTTGTATCCGCTGCTGCTTAGAATTAAAATGGCAGTATGCTTATATTTAAACAGTGTTACAGGAACACTAAGCCCCGTACCCTTTACCCTAGTCTGTGTAGCTTTATGTAAAACAGCAAGCATCATACTACTGTCAGTAAGTTGGTATGGGATTCAGTCAGATTTCTGTGCATTAACAACATATAGAGGTAAAATATCAAATAGGATTGAGGATGAATGTGTGTGTGTGTATATATAATATCCTCAGGAATGCCAGCAGTGCTGGATTTGTCATAAGGCCATAGCTTCAGGGCAGCACTAAAGATAGGGTCATATATCTCTGCCTCTGAAGGTATGTAGATAGATATAGATATACACAGACACATATACAGTCATTGGAAAAAGAAAGTTACACCCGGTTTGCATTCTATGGTTTTACATAATCGGACATAACTATCATCTATGCCTTAGCTAGTCTTATAATTGGGTAAATACAAGTTCAGATGAACACATGACATATTACCAAAATGGAAAATCCATGTGTGAAAAACTAAGTACACCCTTAGTTCTACCATGGAAATTAAAAGGCTAAGAAGAAGGCAGGTGCTGCTAATCAAATATTTTTGATTTACTGATAGTCAGCAAGTGTGACCACCTCTATAAAATCTGACATTTTGGCCGTTTTGGTCTGGATTATTCAGGTATGTGTTAACACAATACCGAGGAGGAAAGACATCAGCAATGATTTTAGAGAAGCAATTGTTGCTGCCCATCAAACATGGGATGGGTTATAAGGCAATTTCCAAACAATTTTTTTTTTTCTTTATTTTATTTGTGCATGTAGTTACAAACAGACTTGCAGAGCCATTACAGCTATAGCAAGCAATTCAAACAGCATAGAAGTACAATTGCACAGCGTTAATAATGCACATTTTTATAAGTAGAGCAAGAAAAGAGATGCAGTGCTTGGTGGTAAAAACCCAAATAAAGGAACTGGGTTAAGCATATGCACTGAGATTAGAAATAAGGGAATGGATAAGCTGGTTCTAAAATTGCTATATGCGGTAAAGAAAACAAGCTAGTTTAGGCTTTATCAGCGTAACTGGCATATAGCAGATATATGCCAGTTAAAGCCTAAACAGGTGTGTATTGTGTAAGATCAAACAAGCTGAAGCATCATGTCTACAATGCAGATAAAACAATGTTATGAATCAAGTTAGAACATTCTAGACATGTATGCAACATGGTGGTGAGATAGGAGTATAATGTTTACAGGCTGGGTGACTCCTGACCAGCAAATATCCCACCCCACAGGTCCCCATAGGTGAATGACAACCATAAAGCTCAGTAGCAAATAGCCCACTGTGTTCTCTGCAAGGAAGTAAAAAAAAAAGAGTATAAAATCAAGCTTGCTAAACAAGCAAGGCAATGTTTGGGCCAAAGTCAGCCAATACCCGTGACAGGCAAGACAAAGTCCCATAAGACTGCGTGGTTTTGTCAGTCCAGGAGTTTAAACACTGTGGGTGTGAAGTCAGGAAAACCGTGCAGCCTCTCTAGCTCACTCTGTGCACCTCTTCCGTCTGCTACCTGCTTAGGAACCTTAGGGCTTGCACCATGTAACCCTGGAGCAGCCCCAGTCACAGCCCGTCTCAAGTTCTGCTTTCTCCGCCTGAGGCGCATTCTCCGCAAGTCGGTAACCACAGGTTGCGCCAGAGGACAATGAGATGATTGCCCAGGTGGGGCAGGAGTGTGGTACCAGAGGTGTAACTTCTGCCGGAATGCTGCAAAAATGCTAGAACTCCCTGGCGATCACTGACAAACATGGCAGGCTGAGCCTGTCCCATTACTCTTTCACTAGCCCTTAGTTATCCCTTTCTCTGGCAGGCTCTGCCTGCAAACTTAGCCTTCTTTTTTCCTTTCCTGGTATCCTCTGCCTGTCCTATTACTGATTTTTTTTTTTTTTTTTTTTTTTGACAAACCCTGCCTGCTCACTGGGCCTTATTTTTCCCTTTTTTCTGGCATGCTCTACTTGCATGCTCTACTTCCTGCATGTTCTGCCTGTCCCATTACTGGTTTTTCCCCTTTCTCTTGCGCTGTCTGCACACTGTGCCTTATTTGTCCCTTTCCTGTTCCCCATGACTGTTTTTCCTTTATCACTGGTAGGCTCTGCCTACTACACACACTTTCACTTATGTTCTGATGAGCCTATGTTCCCGGCGGGCTCTGGTGTACTTATTTCCCTTTGTGTTGTGTTATTTGTTCCTCCCCCCTTCCTGATGGGTTAGGCCGTGTTATTACTGAGCCGCACACAAATTCTTGGCTATTGGTACTCATTGGTGGATTGCAGTGGCCATCTTGGATCTTGCATTTTGCAAGATCCCTGGCAGCCACATTGGGGTGGACCGCTCCTTCACACAGTGCCTGCCTGCATCACTGTTTCTGCTGGTGCTTGCTTCCGCAACACATATCCTAAAATTGGAACAATACAGAGAAGATTAGTATGGCCCCTGTGCGAGGGTGACATGCAAAATTTGTGAAGAATTCCACGGATACAAGAAGTTCATACCTTTTTACAATGAATTCTACCTGCATGGCTGTGGGGACAGAATATATGGTCAGTGTATTGACCCTGGAGGTTTTATTTGAGTTGTAGGTGCTACATGCCCTACTGGTTTATGGGGTGACCCCCCCCCCTTATAACCTACATGTAACTGTGCTGTTGAAAGGATCCTGCTGTTGCTGCCTCCTACACTGGATGAGACCCAGTTATTTAACCACTTTTGATATACGGCTACATGTGGCACTACCTGCTCCGCTCCCGCCAGTTGGTCACTCCTTAGACGAAGACAATGAACTACCCCTGTCCCTTTCAATACTTTATCAATGGCAAGCAGATGCCTCTGGATCAGACGATGACACTTGTGGTTCCACCACGAGGTCGGACTCCGCATTTGTGAAAGAGACCTTCATAGGTGAGCCCCAGGTGCTGTAGGGTGGGGATGGTGCGAAAGACGTCTTCCAAGGTAGACGCAGAAGTCATTCTAGCTGCAATGGGTCAACGCACTGGGGATTGGACACCGTCTGACCGCCTCTAAATTTATGCACATGTGGCTGAGTAAGCCATTGGAGAAGATGGTCTGCAACCATTTGTGGTCTGAATGTCTGTGGCCTTCATTGACCTGACGCCAGAATTTGAGCAGCTGATGTTGGCTTTATGGCCTGTAAAGGCTGAGACCCACGTACAGGGGTTGAAAGAGAGTTCGAAGGTGCGCATGAGAAGCTCCTGGATGCTGTTGGGCCCTCACAGACATTTGTCTGTCGTATGATGCCTGTTCTTGAGCAGAGTCATTTGATGTGGGCATGGTACGTGAATGGGTGCACAACCTTAAAGAATAGACACAAACATGCTTCTGTTTCATCGGAATCATAAATATAGCACTAACTTCAGAGAGATACAAAGCAGCACTCTTCCGCATTGACAGAAAACTGGCAGACTTAGGGTCTAAAGAACTGATAAAAGAGCTGCATACATGTGAATATTTTCACGTCCCTGAACAAGGTGCAATCTTCCATGAAGAAAGCCTTCAAGGGTATACGTAATAGAGTTTGAAGATGTCCCTGTCCAGTGGCAGCCGCCCTGAACCTATCCTTTTTTCATCAGCCAACATACGTCTTATCGACCAGGAGTGTCAGAAATTATGGCTAAAGGGTGCCATCCAACCTGCCTCGGGGATGGGTGCATCTTCATCAAATATCTTCTTGGCCGGAGCAAAATTGGTTATTTTTCCCCAACGATCAACCTGCAGGACCACAAATCTCAAGATCCTGAAGCTGATGGTTGTCCATCTTCAGGCCCACGGAATTCGCTGCATAATTTATCTGGACGACATCTTTAATTTCTTTTAAGAGAGGATGGGACCTAGGGACCATACCCGATATATCGTGAATTTCTGGGTTTGGTAGTGAATCGGTCCAAATCCCTGCTGTTTCTCTCACAGACCGTTCTGTTCCTGGGGTTTAAGATAGATTCAACATTATGTACCTCGGATGTCTCAGCTATTAGCAAGCAGTTTTGCAGAGTCCCCAATTACGACTCCATCCCGCTCCACATGTTTGCACGGATCATGGGGCTGTTGTCTTACTCAATTCAGGTGATATTTCAGAGTCCACTACACTACCTTGCTATGCATTGTCTGACGGCCAAGTTCCTTAGGAAGAATCCCACTTACAGCTAAACGGTTCCAATGACAAACAAGGTGCATATTGAACTGCAGTGGTGGTTGGACAGCATGCAGGCATGAAACAGCCGGACCATATTTGGAAATGCCAGCCTTTGGGGCTCCACCTATCCACGTGACTGAAGTAGGTCTGTCCACAGTAGAGGTGTGGACGGCTCAAGGTCTCTTTATGCACATCAGTTGCTTGGAGCTCCTGGCAGGATCCTTTGCCATCTGCAGTTTAACAAAGGGAATGTCCAACAGTTGCATTCTGCTCCGGATGGATAATGTATCTGCAGTGTGTTATATCAATCACCTTGGAGGCAGTTGTTCCCACATTCTGTCTGATCTTAAAAAGGAGATTCACATTTTTGTCTTCTCTGCAACATATCATTGAAGGTGGAATATCTGGGGTTCGCTGCCCTTGCATCCCGGAGGGGCCTTTTCCAGATGGAACTGTTTGCTTCTCACATGAATCCCCAAGCTCTGGACATCTTCAGCTGGCTACCGGATCCAGAAAACAAAGCGGTAGATGCATCTCTTCAGACTTGGCCTGTCTGCAGAGCCTACGCTTTTCCCCCCTTCGGGATAATCGCAAGGATTTTTGATCATGTCCGATCTCAACTGCTGATGATAAAACTGGTTGCTCCTCCATAGCAGAGCCAGTCACAGATCTTCTGGAATTGTCCGTTCCTCTTACTGTCATATCAGATGTTCATCACCGACCAGAAGGGGAACCTTCATCCATTGGTCCTAGAAGATCAGCTTTCGCATATGGCTTGGACTCTTATCGGGGTTCCTGGCAAGTCAGTGCACAGACTGCTAGAGACCTCCTCTGGGACTCCTGGGACCCGGTACAAGACATATCCACTTGGAGTTCTTAGATGTCTTGGTGTGTGGAACAGGGTCTTAATCCATTTATAGCTCCTGTTTCCTCAGTCCTGAACTTCTTCTCCTCGTTTGGTGTGCTTTTCATTCAGCGGGCATCGCCTTATTCTGCTCTTACGGCAGGCATTTTTACTTGCTAATATTGTACGTGCGGCGGAGAGGATACTTTTCAGACTTTCTATTTCTGTCCCTCTTCTATGCTGCGTTTTCTCTTCTCTCACAGCGTTAAAAATGCAAAAGATGAAGCCTCCTGTCATGTGAAATTGAAGATTATGCTTGCTTTAGTGTACTAATAATCTTAATTTTAGTAATGACAGGAGGTAAGTATTTTCCCTCTCTTCTCCTCACTTTTTTTGTCTTTCACTGTTTGTCATAAGGGGTGTAATTTGTTTGTTGGGTGTATTTACTGTGACTTACTAATTTTAATATGTTAGTCAAAGCACACAAAATCATCACTAAGACTGCACGATCTACATGATGTTGCTTAAATTCTGCTATGATGTATGTATACTTTAAATTCATTGATTGCCTGTATTGTTTCATTTAGTTCATAAGTTTATTTCCCTGTGACTAAGTCTTTGTTACGTTTTCTTTTCAGTTTCACTTGCTTCTGGGAACATGTTTGCTTGGAATTCTCATTCTGTGGGATGCTGACTGTTTTGTGTTTTATCTGATTTGCCTGTGATGTCACAAAAAGAGGAGTTGCTTATATTCACTGTGCCTCATAAATACATTACTTGTTTCTGATTGGTTTTTGTTTTTGTTTTTTCTATGTTTCTTTGCTGCTATGGAGTTAAGAAAAGAAAGATATGCAAAATATTTGCCTCCTGTCCTTACTAAAATTCTGATTGAATACTATGCTAGCTTTAGTGTACTAAATCTATGGACATCCCAGCAAATTAACACCAAGGTCAGACCGTGCAATGCTCAGAGAAATTGCAAAAAAAAAAGTTACATTTCAGATTCTACAGTCCTCAGCATGTTAAATTTCATGACAGTACGATTATAAAAAGACTGAACATATATGGTTTGTTTGGAAGGGTTGCCAGGAGAAAGCCTCTTCTGTCTAAAAGAAACATGGCAGCGCGGCAAAGTTGCATCTGAACAAACCACACAACCGCTGGTCCTATGAAAACCAAAGGCTGTGTATCAGCACAAACACCTCCTACTAACTGTCAGGCACTGTTGTGATTATTTGGGCTACTTTTGCAGCCTTTGAGTTGACCATGAATACCAAAGTATTCTAGAGTCAAATGTGTGGCCATCTGTCTGACAGCCAAAGCTTGAGCTGAAATTGGGTCATGGAATAGGACAATGATCCGAAGCACACCAGCTAATCTACAACAGAATGGATGAACATGAAAAGAATCAAGGTTTTGCAATTGCCCAGTTAAAGTCCAGACCTCTACCCGATTGAAATGCTGTGGCTGGACCTAAAGAGAGCTGTGCATACACAAATGCCAGATAATCTCAATGAACTGAAGTAAAGTTGTAAAGAAGAGTGGATCAACATTCTTCTACCACTGTGAGACTGATAAAGTCATACAGAAAGCAATTACTTCAATTAAGGTGGATTTGCAAGCTATGGAATCGTAAGGTGTACTTAGTTTTTCCACACATGGTTTCTCCATTTTGTCTTTATTTTTTGTTAAATCATGACACCTGTGTAATATATCATGTTTTGTTTTTTATATGACCTGCTCAGGCACAGATGATTATTACGTCCTTATATGTAACGGAGCTTCCTCTACCCTGGCTGGGTACCTCCGCCAAGCTCACTTCCTAGCTGGAACCAGAACACCTTAAGCACTTCTGCCCCAGTAGCTGCAGTTTGACTGGGGTCCTTCTGGAGCTTTTGCACCCGACCAGGCTGCAGCTCTCCTTCCAGGCAGATATCGTCCCGTCTGCCTATTCCAATGCAGCTCTGCTTACAGTGATTGCTATTGTCTTTACAAAGGCACTTGTGTCTCTCAAGCCTAGCTTTCATGATTTATCCCAGGGCTGGTGGCATCTTGCAGCCAGCCAAAAGGTCCAAAGACTCTGTCACTGGCATTCCTAAAAATCCACACAAGATACCATTCCAAAAGGAACTAACATACCTATCTATATTTTTCTGAGGACTAGCCCACAGACTCATGTAAATTGCTGTGACAACTTCAATAAAATACAAATAACCAAATAATAGCAGACAACATACAGCAACTGACATATTTACAAGGGGGTTGGGAAGACAATATTTAACACAAAATATCTCTCCTGCCTGCAGAATTAGCAATATGCAAATGTAACCGAATATGAAAATCAGCCATCCTTGCTATTCAGGAAGTGTATACAGCTGTTGCTAGATCCTTGCAACCAACAGTTGGTGCTGTACAGCCCCACAAGACTTGTCAATACCAATGCAGGTACTCCTGCCATGTTTAATAGTTTGCAGATGTAGCAAAAAGA